TGGCAGATTTTGTGGGTGGGGATTTGGCTGGTCCTGATCAAAATCTGCCACAACGAAATCAGAATCGGAGAATATGTCTCGGTTGAATGGCCGAATTCCTGAGAACAAGAGCGAAAAAGGTTACAAAGCGAGAAATGTTACAATACGAAAACATTACCTGTCGCTCTGAAATCAGATTTTATATTGGCAGGAGTGAACGCAAGGTCGATACATTGCCCAACGATTTCTGGAATGTGATGAATTTCCATCACTCGGCCAATATTATTTTTGCACCAGCTGCCGCAAGCGTTTGAATAATATGCCTTGAACGGGCCAAACACAGAAACGTCTAAGGGTTGTAGCTTGTGGCTGCAATGCGGTGGGATGGATAGCATGGCAACGCCATGCTTATTGGCCAAGTCTATTGCTTCTACTGAAAGGTGTGAGCAATTGTTATCCAAAATGAGCAGCTGACGATTATCCAAAGATGCATGGGAGTATTTGATGAAGTGCTTCATAAATTCAAAAAATTCTGCTCGATGGATCCATCCGGAGCCGTTGGCCATGCCTTCGGATCCTTCCGGCGCACGCTCAAGGAAAATGGAGCGCATATTTTTGCGTGGGAAAATCCAAAATGGCGGACAATAAGTGCCAGATGCACTTACACACGCTACCATGCTAACCAAAGTGCCACGCTCAGCAGACGCCATCACGCCAACATTTTTGGCTCCTTTTCGGCCAACGATTTTGCCAATTTTTGTGGGAACTGTGGAAAATCCAGTTTCGTCCATATTCCATATGGCTTGAGCCGCGTATTCGTGGCCATCACCACTTGGATCGGTGACACGATCCAAGTTCGAAAAAAATAAGTCCACGTTTTCGCGTGAAAATCCACGCATACGGTTCATACTAACTTGTTGCGGCGTTCGCATGGACATATTGGGATGCCGCTTCATAAAATTGTGGAACCATTTCCACCCGGCCATCTGTTTTTCATTCCACGCGGGGGGAAAATTGACGCCAATTTTCACGGCAAACTCAAATGCCAACTTTTTTACCTCAGTTATGCTGAGGCCGTAGTAAATATCGGCGCATTTCAAAATGTATTCCATCAGAATAATTTCTTCGCGTTTAGTGAAAATCTGTAGAAAGCGGAATAAGTTATAGTGGAACAGCGATAAAAACGATAAGATATATATGGACATACAGGACGAACACATACAGAACCAGCACCAATTGATGAGTTATTATCCACAACATTACATACAGGGGTAGTGCCCATTGTTCCGCCGTTATCCAAAACGAGCATCAAATCCTCATCTGTGGCCACAGTTATATTGGGAATAACACGATCAATGTTGTCCAAATGGCGCAAAAGTGTGGTACGAGGTATGCCAAAATTCTTTGACACCGACTTTTTGGATTCATTTCCAATTTTCACACGTTTCACGGCTTCCAATAAAACAGATGGGTCAATGGACTTACGTTTTGAACTCATCTTGAACTAAAAATCAACATAAATATACGCCAATTACGAATAAATAAGACATCCGATAAAAAAAAATCCTTCCGTTTTCCTTTATGGGGTGTCCAACTTAGGAACAAAAAAGGTGTCCGACATAGGAACAAGCCGCCATTTTGAAAAAATGGCTGTACAAACGACACCAATGAACATACACACTTTTTGTATGCATCAATCGAAAGATAAAAGAAAAACAAATACCATGAATATATTTACCTTGATTTGAATCACTTTTATTGTCACTTTTTGTTCGTTGGTAAAAAACGTGAAAAAACTTTCGGAAAGTGTAAAAAATACTTTTCTTTGTGGTGCGACAAAAAATTTGTGTAAATATGTCTGTCTCACAGTAAAAATATGCTACGATTGAATGCTATCGAATGACAGTAGTTTGAGCTCGAAAAAACGATGACAACATAAAAATGTCACGGGTGTCCAACTTAGGCGCAGTGTCCGACTTAGGCATACTTACCTTATTTATATATTAGATTTTATTTGTATTTGCAGTTTCGAATGTCCCGACTACCAAAAATTTGATGAGAATAAATGCCATTTCAGAGGAACATCTTATAATATTAAAGATAAGATACTTGTAAATGCTAGATGTAAGTGTTTTGGATGTCTCGATGTCGTTCCATTTTATGCACTCCATTTTAATTGGTTTATCCACAAACAAATATTAAACAGCCTTATCATATAATAACATTTTTGTTTGATGTTTTGTTCTACAGCTTTGGAAATCGTAAAAAACTTTTCGGATACTATATATCAGAGTGTCAAAGATATTTGGTACATAGCCCCTGATGGTGAGTGTACCGGACCTTGTATATGTGAATTGTGGAATAAATGGCCGGCTTTTTTGTGTGGCTCAAATGAATGTCTCCTAGAACAAAATGTGGACCGATCCAAATGCATAGTGCAATACGAATCTTTGCAAAGTTGCTGTGGTCATATGGATGTTTGTGGTGAATAAATTCAAAAATCTTACTTAATACCTTTTATTATCACAAAATCCATTTGGAATAATCTAACGACAAAATTGTGTTCTACACTTAATTTTTTCACATGTAAATTTTTCAATTAATTATAGATATTTTGACTAACGATATTTTATTGATCTTTCATACTTGACTTTAACAAAATGCGATTTTAAAGAGAACTCTAATATTTTCGATTTTTTTCTCGGTATTTCGATAATTGATCGTGTATCGTCATTTGGAAAACTGTTGTACATTTATCAACTTTTAGATCCTACGGAAATTAAAACAATGAAAAAATGTTATTTTCAAGCTAGAACATATCGTTTAAATGAACGATTTTATCCTAGAAATGAGTGCTATAAATGTTTTTGCACTGAAGACTTTGATAATGCAACAGCTTTACCTGAGAATCCCAATTGTAGGAGAATCGATTGTTTATATGAATTATATCAATTCAATTCATTGAGACAAGGTTGTGTTCCACTTTTCTACAAAAATGAATGCTGTTCAGTGGGAAACAGATGCCGTAAGTGTTTATGAACTTTGTACCATTTACATTAATATCTAATAAATTTATTATTTTAAAGCAAAAGAAAATGATGAAATCGATCCAGAATCAATATCAAATGACAAAACGGACGGACCTGTTTGCAAATTTGGCAAGCTAACTTTAAAGCGTGGAGAAAAATTAAAACTTGAACACCTCGAAATATATGATGTAATATGCAGATGTGATGTGCCACCATTCGTTACATGTTCCAGAAATTAACCATTGTTTTGAATCATCGGGAACGAGCGAAGCATGTATCTGTCCCCTTAGCTACAAACAGCCATCTAGCGGTCAGATATATTTGTCATCTATCCATAACATTGTTTTGACAGCTAAGCGTGGTAAAAAATAATCAGCGTGGTAAAAAATCCATATAAACTTGTTAATTATATTTCAAATTGTATAAAGCAAAATGTTTTTTTGTGTTGTTATTGTGGAGTAAAAATTAAAACTAATTTAATTTAAAAAGGCATGAAAAATCACACTTAAAAAGTGTTCAGAGAGTGGAGTGTGCTTCTGAAAAATGTCAAGCTCTCGCTTCGCTCGCTCGTAACCGTCCCATATGTAAAAAAAATATAGAAGTATCGGAAGAAACTAGTATTTAATAAAAATTGAAGTAAATCATAAAAAAATTTTTTGCAGATTATTCGGATGTTATTTAAATGTTCAGTTAAAATAAATTTTGCTCTGTTAAATATAAAAATGCCAAGTTATAAATTTCATCAACGTAGCGTTCTAAATTCATTTTTCTAAATAATAACATATAATTTTTTCAGTTAAATATAATATCTTTCAGGTATTTATTTATTTATTTTCTCACCGTCTCATCTCAGACTGAATTTATCACAAAGCATTATACAATATCATTCACAATTAATCACTACCAGAATCGAATATCCAGCCACCAGTCTTATCGACTTCGGAGCAGCAGACATCGACTGTGTTGTTTTAATCTCTAGTGTTTCAATACAATTATTTTAAAAAAATTAAAAACTAAATTTTTTTGCCGCTCAACAAATATCACATTTTCCAATTTGACAATATTACTTCTAAAAATTTGTCTCGATGCCGATTTTAAAAATGTTTCTCTTATTAAATTAAAATTCCTACAAGCCACGCAAAATGGCTGGCTATGTGCATATTCCGTCGTGAACGTTCTTACTCTAATGAGCTCTGTATTTCTTAAAGTTCTTTGACTAGCGTTATATAGAACTCTTTTGTACATAATCTTATCTCTAATCGAACTCGACACTATTTTACCCAGTAGGAGATCATTAATTCAAAATATTAATAAATGCCACTATTCGCCGTCTCCAAAGTGCTTGAATTTTTAATACATCACATCTAAACTGATACGGTGGCAATACAAAATTTTCGTCTCTTTGGTAAATAAATCTTAATGCATAAATCACAAAATCTTTCTGAATTGACTCTATTCTATCGGAGTGTATACGGTGGTATGGTTGCCATACAATACTCGCATATTCTAGCAGATTCGATCGTGAATTTATTCTTCAGTGTGCGTTCAGAAAACAGTAAAAGTCCAGATCCTGATTTAGATGATATGGAATGCGATTTTTTTCATTCTGATTTCAGCAGGTGATACAGAAAATTGAGTATACTTTTTTCATTTTTCACGATTTTTTACCATTTACATGGGAGGCTTGTATGAAAAACACGGAAGACCGCTGAAATGGCACTATCGTAAGTCCGTATATATTTGGCGTTTGCAATTTCAGCGGTCTTCCGTGTTTTTCATACAAGCCTCCCATGTAAATGGTAAAAAATCGTGAAAAATGAAAAAAATTATTAAATTTTTTTTCTTCAATTCTCAAATATTACTCAATTTTCTGTATCACCTGGTGAAATCAGTATGAAAAAAATTGCGTTCCTTATCATTCAAATCACGATCTGGATTTTTTTCACTTTTGGAGTGTTCTATACCGAGTCTCCGAGAGTTTCTTATAAACTTGCCATATGATACCTATTGAATATCCTTATATGTTGACATTTGATTTACATTCCAATTCATGTTGAAGATTTGTTCACAACTTTTCTGATCGCTCTCATGAAAAGCGTAAAAATTAGTCTTTTTTTAACTCGAAACATCAAAACCAATTTATTCTTCACGCCGTGTTTCACTCCAATAAAATTTGGATTGGTACTACAATTCAATAAAATCTTTAAGATTTGTTACACATTTCTATGTTGTGAGGAGAAGACTCACTTTCATTCTCGGACAATCATATTTTTAATTAGAATGCTTCATAAATATTCCTAAATATTAAACTGGTTCTAAATTTCCGTTCCGATAAATGTGTCACACGACTTTATTGTTCGACAAAATATTTTTCGATTCAGTTTTGAGTCGCGCAAAAATTGTGAGACACTTTTGTCGGAGCGAAAATTCCGATACACTTACATTGGTATGATTTCGTTAAAGTCTCTTTTATTCTCAGCCGTACATATGTATTGAAAAATGAATTCAATTCGACTTACTTTAAAGATGCATTTGGCTTTTGTTTAATCGATATGAGTTTATTATTTACTTTTCCGTACAGTGCGCGTACTAATTATGTATAATAACATTAGTTGCATTCATTCGCATATTTTTGCGGGTAATCTTTTTTCGTCAAAACAAATAATTCCCCAAGGAAAGCAAAATATTCAAATGAATACATTTTAAGTAAGTCTTCAAACTGTAAACTCTTCGATTTTTTTTACTGTGTCATATTTCAAATGTAATACGAGGAAAATGTTGACCGTAATTTCGCGATAAATTTCATGACTTTGTTTACATATTTACAGCGATTACCACAAGTGTTGTAAATTGCGAAACACTCTGTAGTTGGTTTTGTTGCACTTATGTAATGGTGTCATCATGGCATCATCTTGCGTAATAAAGTGCAAACCTTAGCACCAGCTGATTGATTATACCCTACTTTTTTCATAGAAAATGTTATTTAAGATTAGGTAACTTCTATTTAAGTTATTAAATTAAAAAAATGTTTTCTTCTTTCATTATACGATTAAATTCACCCTTGTCTCTGTTTAAGCGGAGAATGCGAGTCAATGAAATCAATAAACTTAGTTAGTAGATAAAAGGAGGTGTTCTTTAGGTTAGAGACGTCGTCCGCCATGCTAATAAATAACAAATTCAGTGAGCCTTCGAATTTATCAGACTTGGCATTTAACTTTGGAGCAGCACTTAATATGGCGAACCCTTGCTGGGATCACATTTGGTAATATCAAAAAGAACCCACAATGGTCATTGTTGTGCTTTGCTCGAGGCAAATCTAAAAATCATTTTAGGCTGGAATCGAAATATTAAAAAATAAAAAATATATCCACATTGTTCGCAAGGGGGTAGACACTGTTTTAAGTCTGACTTACCGTTCCTTCATTTTTGTAAATATAGCTCTCCGTACACATTATGCATATGGCATTAA